GGTTCTTGTTGACATTCTTAATTCGTCCAACTTCAACAAATATTCTGTGATCTTTTAATAGCTTGTCGTCGACAAGGGCTGCAAAACCTGGAGCAGGATCAGTGCGTATCGTAGACCATCTAAGGGACATAATTCAATACATAGACGAAGCAGTGCATCGCGTAGGGTGTCGTGGCGCTCGTTTTCAATCAGACATGACATAGTGTAGGACGTTACAACCTCCCTCAAAAGAAGTATGAGCTGACATTCGCGCTTTATGACATCAGCTGCAAACGCGATCCCAACAATCTCCGGTGGGTCCCCGGTGGTCTGATCAATCATGGTATGAGGTATGCGACGCAAGGCAGCACACTGATGACACGAGTCGGAAACTTGGTCAATATACTTGTCTAAATCAAGGGCGAAGAAATAGCGGCGAACAGATAGTTTGAGCTGGTGATTAAGTGGGGTGGTCGAGACGAATGTGAAGGGCAGTAAGGAGACCCTCAATGATAGATCTGGGGACTATGATACATTCCTTAGTAGCTGCCAGAGGCTCACAACGAGGGGCGATTAAAAGGTTGTCCCTGCCAATAGGCGCAACATTGAGATATCTTTTGATATCTTTGACATTGGTGATTTTCTTAGAGGGACGAGTACACTGTATTAGGTGAGCCCTAACTCTTCTCAGGTCTGAGCACTCATTCTGGAGAGCTAGCCAAGCCGTCTTGTTAGTAAAAGGTAACCGGGCATCCCCTAAAATTACATCTCGTGTGGAAGTGCGCAGTACGACAGATTCTTCATTATGGTGAACAAAAGAACAAACCTGGCAGTTGTCAGAGTCACACATTGGTGCATTGCGACTTGCAAAGTCGGAGGGTATGTTAGCTGATCCTACCAGATGCCTAATAGATACATGATAGCGACTAGCAATGGAAAGAAAAGTAGAGACGCGCGGCGAAACTGAGAACTCTCCACGACATAACTTCTCCAAAGCCTGCACACACGGCTTACTATTTTTATCAATAATCTTCATATCTACAGCACCTAGCACTGTCATTCAAAGGTCTTTAACTATGTTTTCAATATCAGGGAGTATTATGCAATCATCAGAATTTATGTCAGATGGCCACGATATTTGTTTTCAAGATGGCTGCCAAAATATTGTTAGTTTTGTCATTATCTTCATATCTACAGTAACGTACAGCCAATCACATCTTTAACCATGTTTTTAATATCAGAGAGTATCATGCAATTCATCAGGAAATTATGTGGGATATTTTCTGACTTGTACTTGTTGTATAAGTTATTTAAGTATTCATTTAACACTCTAACCTGGGTTTTCACATTTCCTATTTTGCATTTCTTTGCATCCTTTTTGCCTGGCAACATTCTTGAATTGTCATCACGGGAAAGAAACTTGACAACATCATCATGAAGTATACGGTACATTAATCGAAATTTCTTTTGTGTTTATGCACTGTGTTATGTTTTTCTTTTTTACACGTGCAAGCTTGTGACGTTCCAACCCTGTTTTTCTACCAGTGTACCGAATCATTTTATACTTTTTCAGTATTTTACCAGAGATAATCTGACTCAGTTTTCTTTTCATTTGTTGTTTTATTTGCCTTCGAAGCTTCGTGAATTTCATCAAGGATGACAATGATTCGAGAATGTGAGGTGTTTCTTAATTGCGTTTCTAGATCGCGGAGTGAGAACCACATTCTTCAGTTTTGAGGTTGCCTTTGATCTAGGAGTTTCGCTGGTATCCATGGCATCGTTTGAAGATTTTTCTGAAGGTGTTTTCGGCATTGTTTTTACTGCTCTTTCATAATGCTTGCTTATTTTTTAAAGTTTTTCTTGCGGCAGTTTTTAACTTATGTTCCAGTTCCTCAATTCGCCTATGTGTCCAGCTTAGGGCCCAACTTGTTCTTTTCCTAGTTGAAACCCGCTTTTTTGATTGAAGCTTAACTCGAAGAGGGCTTTGCGAACGGCTTTGTCCGGCACTCGTACCTGGCGACGATCTCTGATATGGCTGAATCACTCTCAGTATCACCAAATATCAGGTCGTTCTATTTGATTATTCTCCATATTCTGCTTTTTCAAAGTCTTAATTACTGCTCTGTGTTTTCGAACTCTGACGTTAACCTTCTTTCTTCTTTCTTTTTTTTTTTCACGTTTAGTAAGGGCGGCAACTGGCACGTAATAGCTTTTCTGACGTTCGCTTTCGGCTTTTAGAAACGCCTTTTCTCCCATATTTTGCTTCATTCTCTATAGGCGGCTCGAATCTGAGCTCTTGTTTTACCCATGGTGATACACTGTTATGATATCTATGAAAAAAATACCAAACAGAAGTTGTTGCTATATATATTAAACTCTAAGACATCAAATTATATCCAAGACAAGCCAAGTAACCTACGTTACACCTGAGTCTTCGTTTGGAGAGTTGAAATCAAATCTAAAAGCTGAGATTCTAATTCACTGTCAATGTAACTTTCTAGTATACATGTTGTTGATTAAAAAACAAACAATTGTCACATTGTTAACATCTTATTTTTAAGGAAGTTTTTTAATTAAGAAGGAGTAAGGAAACCTACGTTAACATTAGGTCGTACGTGGTAAAAATAGTGTGTCTCCATTAAAGCAATCTTAATTACAGAATATTTGTGATAACATATAATCTGTGTATGGAATATTTCATGCATACGTACAATGATTTCAGAATTAGCTCAAAACAATATACTAGGCCAAAGAACATAGGGATGTAAAATGTGTAACATATGTTACAATATTATGAAACATAAGTTACGATCTAATCACATGTTTAATAATCAGCAGACCCACAAGGAAGCTATTCTTTATTGAAAACTTTATTTCAGGTAAAAAAGATATAGTTGTTCAAACTTTTAATGCAATGGTTTCAGGTACTATGGTATAAAAATATCAAGTAAATATGAAGAAATGAAATAAGCCTTACATTTACATACATTTCAGTCAGGTTTCTTAAGAAATATCAACAGGTTGCTACGTCTACTTCGCCGCCATGAAAAGAACGTCTCGTTGTCAACCACGCCCCCTCAACGTCAATTGGCAGTTTACAAAGCACCCAAACGCTCACTCGTGATTTTAGTTAAATTTGCGCAGGATTGAATAAATAAATGAATGTTTTAAACGACATGTTTCGACGTGTCCCACGTCATCATCAGGCAATAGCGCTGTGCTACTGACGGCTTAAATACTGCCGGTCAGATGTGGGTGTCTATAGAACGAAGACCGAAGACCCATAAACGAAGACCCCTATTTTTTCTCTTTCATTTTGATGATAATACGCCAGGCTGTCACAAAATCAAAATTACGAAATTTTTTGGGCGTCTGTTTGTGAAATTTTCAAAATCAAAATAAAAGAGAAAAAATAGGGGTCTTCGTTTTTTGGTCTTCGGTCTTCGTTTTATAGACACCCGGTCAGATGTAAGGTGAGAACAAGCAGATATTATTAAGGTAAGTCATGTATATAGAGGTCAGGAATGCTATGGTCATGTATATAGGGATTGAATAAATGCAGTAACGTATGTTCCGGTAACGTATGTTTTATTTTGATTTCATCGTGTGTTAAAAATATTTTGCAATCACCGAAGCCACCTATAATTTATTACCTGAAATACAGATATAATGCTATTACATACACCCAATAGCTCACATGCATCAACCGTTTTACTTTTGTATACGGTGGTAACATAGGTTTCATTTCTTAACTACACCTGCTACAAAACATCATTTTTTTTAATTTTTTCTTTACGCTGGTGATTTATAATGACCTAGGAGGTAAACACTTAGTGACTTGATTTATATTAATGATGAATAATTCACTTTTAATTGAGTATGCATAATGAAATTTCCAACTTCATGTATATAGAGGTCAGGAATGCTATGGTCATGTATATAGGGATTGAATAAATGCAGTAACGTATGTTCCGGTAACGTATGTTTTATTTTGATTTCATCGTGTGTTAAAAATATTTTGCAATCACCGAAGCCACCTATAATTTATTACCTGAAATACAGATATAATGCTATTACATACACCCAATAGCTCACATGCATCAACCGTTTTACTTTTGTATACGGTGGTAACATAGGTTTCATGGTTTGCGACACACTGTTTAGCTAATTGGTAAATTTTATTGGTTTTGACCCTCTCAGTGGTCTGTGGGTTGTACTCTGGTGATAAATTTATTAGTTTTGTCAAACAATTTATTCTAGCCATCAACAAAGTGTAGCAAATATTTTATACAATTCGTTTATTTTGTCCCATTTATTATATTGCAACATCATTTGGGCCGCAAACTATCCCTCAAATTTACAAAGAATTCTTATATTAAAAAATGGGTTGTTCGGTTAATTACATCTTCACCATTTAAAACTGCATCTGAACCTCTATTTAAAAAAACTTAACATCTTAAAAATTAGTGACCTTCATAAACTCCAGATTACTTATTTTATGTTTCAATATGTGAATAATTTAGTACCTGCATCAATCGCATTGCTTTTCTCTAACCGTGTAATATCTCATTCTTACAGTATTAGAAATCAAAATATATTACAAGTCCCTTTTGTTAATCTTACTAAGAGTCAATGTTTTATTACATTTTCAGGTCCCACCATATAGAATAACCTAGATAAAGATATTATTATAAATTGTAAATCCCCGAAAGCATTCAAAAGTCACATGAAAACAATATATTTATCTAAGTACAGGTCTTCTGATTGATTTGCGCTAACACTAATTATTTTTCTCCATTATTTATTTATTCATTTTTAATTGACTGCACTAATTTAAGAGGGAAATACCATGACAGAACGGTATTATTTTCAAATTATGTTATTTCGTTTATAGTACGGAGCGTTGCTCAAAACATATAAATTCAATTCAAAATTGTAGGCCTAATGGTTGTAGTAGTCCGAATTACTAAATCAGTTCAACATGATATTTTTTTTGTTAAACTGTCTTGGACATAACTTACCACTACGTTTTCTACCAATAGAAGAGCACATTGTGATACAGTCCCTGTTAACGATGCCACCACACAAACGATCCTTGCAAGAAATGTCCTCTGGTATATAGAGAAAGATAGACAAAGACAAAATTAGGCCTGTGGTATTCTGTAATTCTTCACATTTTTTACTAGGACAAAGACATAATACGCAATTAATTTGAAAATCGCATGGTATTAAACTTTATATTATGAGAGGAAAACCATTCCTCCTCAACACGCACACCTTTATCACAGTAATACAACGTCAGTGTTTATTAAAGTTCATGTCATTTCCAATTTTCGTATTTAATACGTTATGAAAGCTATGTTCTTGTGTGAAACATCCAATGGGTATATAGACCTACCAGACTGGCATCATGGCACATTGGAAGGACAACCGAATGGTTAGGTAGCAGGGAAGTGTTGGTGGGACTACAACGGGATTTTGTTTTCTAAATAAACTTAATCTGTTTTGGTTTTTCCGTAATAAATTTACCATTATTAAATATTCCCTTATTTTCTTGGCTGAACATGAATGAAATTCGATTTTATATTATTGACCTAATATTATTATAATATGATTTGAATTATTTGCATAGTATGCAATAAATTGTGAAAATTTTAAAAGAAACATTCGTAAAAATAACTGGACAAATAATACCTGATGTGAAATTAATATTTATAAGCGTTGGAATTTCCTAAACTTAAGCTGTAAGTACTTTCGGTGGTGAAAACTTTAAGGTTCACAGCCCAGGCTAGGTCTATTATAAACATTATTCTTTAATAACCAATTTTGACAGAATGAGAACTGAGTATTATAAAACAGGGAATAATCGGTACATACTGTAACACACAAAACATCGAGAAAACACTATCAATAGGCCTATTACAAACTTTTAAAAAATTCTTGTAAGTAAATCATTAAATATACAGAAACCAGATGAAACTATTTGAACTTACAAGAATAATGTAAGAGATCATTGAGTTAATTAGTATTAAAAACTGCATCAAAAAACATACCGATACAAAGTACAAGCAAGCAAAGCAGCGGAACGCAAGGGGATATTTTCACAGTGGTTATCGTTGTTCAACTCAATCATTGAGAGTTTAATCAGAAGAAAAGTGAGTTTCTTTTGGGCTATGTTTAATTTATATAGGCCTATAGGCCTAATTAATCTGCGAGTTGTGCGGCAATTATTCATATTTTGTGCACCTTTGCTTTGTTTCATTTATGGGCAAATTATTGGTTAGCCATTCTTTAAATCTTTTGGGCTTTATTTGCAATAGGTGAAGTTTCATTGGGCAGATATTCGCTCCATGCCTTCTCAATCCTATACAGTAAACCGTAATATTATCTAAGAATGTTACATGATCTCTTAAGAATCTGTTTCAGTACACGGTGATCCATAAAGCAGATTAAGTTGACTCACCGAATTCAAACACTGGTCCTACAAATGCCATATTATCCAACGAAAAATAGATAGAAAAAAAGTAGCAGTAGTAGTAGTAGTAGTTTTACAAAAAAAATCCTTAAATTGATTACAAGCCAATTTAAGGATAAATAATAAGCAAATGAATACAGGAACTGTCCGAAAAATGAGGGGATTTTTTTCTTATTCAAATTTTTAAGTTGAAGTTAATAAATTGCCTAAATATACAAATTCAAATGTGAAATTAGAATTTTCGTTTTCTTGACTGATTGTTCCATCTTTAATAATTTGCTTTTATCTATAGTTACGGTAAAGTTTTAAGCTGTAATTTCTATTTCTATTCACAATATACGTTCAACTGTTTAAAACCAGCTTTAAAAATAAAGAATATAAAACAAATCATATACTGAATGCCATTTTTGTAATATCAATTCTTAACATTTTGACCTTTGACCTCATTTTTTTGCGGTGATGCATTGGTTATGAGGGTCCTTTTATATTATTTTCTTTTGTATTATTCTGTGCATTTTGACACCAAAATCAACCCTATATCATAGAGTGTTTCTAAGATACATACTGTAGTGTTTTACGTTGGGTCAATGACCTTTAACCCCAAAAACGTAATTTCCCCACTCTCCTATACCCGTTTTTTTTTTGTGTTATCCTAGTATGTATTCCTACACAAGTCAGTTGAAATCACATTCATTGTAATATTTTAAAATGATATATGCCAATTTAGTGACTAAAAATACAATTTTTGACATTTTGACCTTTGACCTCATTTTCCAAGGTCATGAATTGGTTTTGAGGGTTCTGTTATATATTTTTTTATTTGTTGTATAATTCTTCGCATTTTGACAACAAGATCAACCATATACCATATAGTGTTCCAGAGATACATTTTTTAGTATTTTAGACCAGGGTCAATAACCTTTGACCCCTCATAATATATTTTCCCCACTCCCTAGCCCACCTAACTTTTTTTTGTGTATCCTGGTATGTATCCCTACACAAATCAGTTGAAATCTGCTTCTTTCTATTATATTTCGCAGATTAAGTCTAATTTTGGGTTACTATTTAGGCTGATTTAACACTGACGGAAGTGTGTGATTTATCATTTAATTGCATACGGTATTGTGAATACAATGAGGAAAACAAATGTTCAAGCGATATATTTGAAGGGTTGGAGTTTCTTACACAACCAGATCTTTCGTTTCACATGTCATGTATATTCTTGATCTTTTAGTATTTAAACCAATGTCCATTAGTTTACTGGGATATTTTACAATCTAGACTGTTCTACTTCCTCACACCCCTGCCTCTCCGGCTCAAATTTTAAGTGTATATGGTTTATGAAAAGTCTGCTTAGGCCTATCTTTCTTGGATTTTTTTTTTAGATGTACAATAATAATTTCAGTGTGGGAAAATAGGTGCCCCAACCGGGATCTAAACCCGCGACATTCTGCTGTATATTGGGCACCTATTTTTTCACACACTAATCCTTGAAACAAACTGAGAGACAATTAAATTCACATCATGTCCTTTTAGAAGTTGCCAACATTTTGCCCATATCGTATAGAAATCGCTCAGCTGATAATTTTTCTAAGAGAATTTGATAATTAAAGACAAATTTATCAAATCCAAAGAGACAAATTTACATCTGTAAAACGGAGTTTTGTGACCTGGGGCAACTGCCGCTATGTTTTATAAGAATAAAAAAAAATCTCTCTTACGCTATATCCGCGACTGAAGGGTCTGATTTTGTACTACGTGATTTTCGCGCGTAACCCACCGTAGGATACAAATGTCATTAATCATATTAGCGCCGAATACATCATCAAATAACTGGTATATATTTGAGTCATCTATTGGGGTCTGGTATTAAAGATCACATTAAGCTGTTCTCAAACTTATCTGAAATTATAATCTTTTATGCGAATGTGTACTGCAAATATAGTCCTAATGAAGATTGTAACATTGTTATTTGCTGTTGTTATTGCTACTGTCATATTCATTACGCCTACTTTCGTTATAATTATTACATTACACTATATATTACTAAGTAGTATAAAGAGTTAACTATTTAAAATTATAAATATCAAAATATTTTAAATAAATTGTTTTATTCCAATTAGGATGATGTATAAACAAAAATGAAACTCTGTATAAAATATTTTTAAAAAACCACTGTTTTTTGTTGATGATAATCTGCGACACTAGAAAGCTCAGGGAAAGTAAATCATGGATTACAAAAGCTATTTAAAGTCAATTAGAAAGTATAATGCACTATCCTGAAAACCTACTGATTATTAGAGGATATTGGTTAATGTGAAATACAATAATAAGTTAACTTATATATTATTAGTACAAGTATTAATCCAGCACTGTCAGTGCAGACAAATTGATGTTATAGAGAACCTGAAATATCCTCAATCAGGTCCAGTGCAGAGACTTTGTACCAAACGTGCTCCTTATGATAGGTTTCAATTTAGATAAAATACAGATCTCCCTCTAATTAAAGACCCCTCCCATTAAAGACACCTCCAATTAAAGACTACCTTTCAGTGGTCCTAAATTCACAAATTTCTTTTAACTTTATCATTCTAATTAGAGAACAAAGCTTCTAAAAACCATAGAAACCCCAGTCCCATACGTGGTCTTTAATTGGAGAGAGACCTGTGATTCCTAATACCAACAGATTCCGCAGATTCAGAAACGATGAGGTAATAATTGAAAATGATAGGCTTTAGTATAAAAGATATAGCAATTGTGCTGGAGCAGATAAATCAAATAGCAAAATTCTCAATTTATTTCTCATTACATTCCATCTCACCTCTAGATCACATTAATCACATCCTTAATGTGATCTCACCTCTAGATAACATAAATCACATCCTTAATCGCAATTCAGATTTGATGTAGTTTTATGTGAATTTAATTAATTGAATAAATATATAAATTATATATACGTTTAATAATTGCTAGTGCAGAGGTATTTTTTTTTCTAGTTCTGACCTACTTACTCTTAAAAGTCATAATAAAGCAATTTTTAAGGAATACAAAATTATGATTGTATATTATGATCATTTTGAAACAACCTCTTACAAAATTCCTCAATTATAGTCTCAACGAAATAAATACATTGCTAATCTTTACTTTGTATAATTAATACTTCTATTTAATCTGGGGAGTACGCGAATAGCGATATATTCACCAATCGAAAGATTCTGAACGAAAGACCTTAAGTGGTGCCCGACGACAGTTTCGCACTCACGAGAATAAGCGCCCGTCGATATCTTAAAAAAAATCAATCATACAGTCAGTACATCACCTTCTGTCCGATGCATCTCAGCATTGTCGGTCGGTCTGTCCGTCCATCCATCTGTCGGTCGATCCGTCGGTCAATCTCCATTAGGCTTAACATTTTGTTCAGTTTTGATGCATTATTAGGATCCTGTTCTTGTTTTCTTTTCAATGTCAATTTAAAAATGAGTATATTTCTCCTAAACAGATGAGTTTAGTACCTTTTCAACTTTCTTCTTACATTTGGCATAGGCCGGGAATGACTAGTTCTACTTTTGTTTTTCTGTACCCGACAATTTACACCTTTAGTACGTTCTCGTCTGAGTTTGCAAGAAACCCTGCAATTAAACCCAGCTAATTTTAATCTGCAGATGGCTAACAAGTTTACCACCACCACTCAATTTATCTGCTGTTTGTGGTGGTGCATTCTTGTCATGAGCCAAGCTCTCTGGACAATTATTTTGGGTGTCCCGAAAGCTCAGACCACGAAAGCTAAGACCTAAGACCACGAGATATCAGACCCACTCGAAATATCAGACCCCGCAAACTAAGACCCTCATCTAAGAATGCCAGGATTTCTTGACAATAATACCATTCGAAAGCTAACATCAATTTATAGAACTGACTAATCATGAAATAAATACCAGTAAGTATTATCGATACCAGCCATGGAGTTATAATTATTTTGATAATAATAACTCCGTGTATCAGCTAGGCCCCTATATGCAACGTTTACTGGAGAAAACAAATACAGTACAAACAAACCGTTGTTAGTGTAAATCAGGCTACTCCACGGAACCGTAGGCCCTACGGTTTCGATAGCGGTTTCTAATGCACATCGCGCGAATATCTGATATATAATGTATTACGATTCTCGATCGTTTTCGATAATAATAATAATAATAATAATAATAATAATAATAATAATAATAATAATAATAATAATAATAATAATAATAATAATAATAATAGGTCGATTTATAAGGTGCAAATAAACAAGGTCTCTAAGCGCCATGTCTAAGTCCTCTGGGGTGGATCCGGATATTTTTTTGAAGGGGGGGGGGCAATATGAGGTTCTCGCCGCCACGGCCACCTTAGCCCCACAATGGTTGGTGTAAAGTGGAAAATAATCAAGCTATTCTTTCATTCTACTGCTGGATCGCCACTGAACTCATGGGTACAAATTTTCCTCTCTTTAACTCAAAGTTTTCGGCTTTACTGAATTGGGGGGGGGGGGGGGGCGTGCCCCAATTCTCCCACCCCATTCGCTGGATCCGCCACCGGTCGTGATTTCATGTTCTATGCTTTTAGTAATTTTATCTTTTTGATTATTTGAAACCGAATATATAAAACAAAAAAGAAGCAAGTAAAGAAAGGTAAGGTGAATGTAAAAAGAAGAACAAACTATCCTAAAAATATAAAGAGTGAGAACGTTTGAGAACCATATCGGATACAGTATTCGCATAATTAGTAGTAGAGCGGCTAAGGAGAAAAATCGTGCACTTTTGGAAGAAAGCATGAAACTTTCCATAGTGATACTATGACACATATTTGACTTCAAGATAACTGTCAAAATATTGTTATTTTTGTCATTATCTTCATATCTACAGTAACGTACACACCTTTAACCATGTTTTTAATATCAGAGAGTATCATGCAATTATCAGAAAATTATGTTAGAAGGCTGCCTTGTTGGATTCTAAGATGGCTACCATAATACACCTCTTAATTCCAATAACCACTCTGTACCTCATCCAAAGGTATACATGTATAATTTTCCGCGAAATCCATCTGAATAAGACATTCATCTTTCTTTTCAAGATTTGCATGTAACATCAATTTGCTTTACAAGAGCTGACGGCCTGATATTGTTCTTTAACGCGTTCTGTGTGCTTGCGAAACTTATTGGTTTCTATTTGGAAGTAGTCGGCAAACTCATTTGTTATTAAAACTTGACGTAGAAGTTTGGTCTTTTTCTGCTATGTTTTCTCTCCTCCCCATTCCTCATAGTGAATTGAATCATTTTTCTTAGGCCCCATTTTAAAACTATCCATCATTTTATGGATTGCAGCATCATCATTGCTATTGATGAATTCATCTGGATTTGATGCTTTGAACTTCAACGCCATGTTTTGGTGCCTTTAATATAAGGTAGTGCTTCTAGACGAGTATTGAACTAATTTGGTATGAGGTTGACTGCGGCGAATGCGTTGGAAAGCCGTAAATGAAACATACTGATTTTCAATATTTTCTGAATTGTACTTGTTGTATAAGTTATTTGAGTATTCATTTAACACTCTAACCTGGTTTTTCACGTTTCCTGTTTGGCATTTCTTTGCATCCTTTTTGCCTGGCAACATTCTTGAATTGTCATCACGGGAAAGAAACTTGACAACATCATCATGAAGTATACGGTACGATAATCGAATTTTCTTTGTGTTTATGCCATAGAGATATAATAAGAATACTAGAGCGCTAACCGCAATGTATTCGATGTTCGAAATACGCAGAACTGTGTGTGTGTACCATCCAAGATGGCTGCCATAGATTTAGCCAATCAAATTTCTTTAGTAAGGGCGGCAACTGGCACGTAATATCTTTTCTGACGTTCGCTTTCGGCTTTTAGAAACGCCTTTTCTCCCATTTTTTGCTTCTTTCGTTCTCTATAGGCGGCTTGAATTTGAGCTCTTGTTTTACCCATGGTGATACACTGTTATGATATCTATGAAAAAAATACCAAACAGAAGTTGTTGCTATGTAAATTAAACTCTAAGACATCAAATTATATCCAAGACAAGCCAAGTAACCTACGTTACACCTGTGTCTTCGTTTGGATAGTTGAAATCGAATCTAAAAGCTGAGATTCTAATTCACTGTCAATGTAACTTTCTAGTATACATGTTGTTGATTAAAAAACAAACAATTGTCACATTGTTAACATCTTATTTTTAAGGAAGTTTTTTAATTAAGAAGGAGTAAGGAAACCTACGTTACCATTAGGTCGTACGTGGTAAATATAGTGTGTCTCCATTAAAGCAATCTTAATTACAGAATATTTGTGATAACATATAATCTGTGTATGGAATATTTCATGCATACGTACAATGATTTCAGAATTAGCTCAAAATAATATACTAGGCCAAAGAACATAGGGATGTAAAATGTGTAACATATGTTACAATATTATGAAACATAAGTTACGATCTAATCACATGTTTAATAATCAGCAGACCCACAAGGAAACTATTCTTTATTGAAAACTTTATTTCAGGTAAAAAAAATATAGTTGTTCAAACTTTTAATGCAATGGTTTCAGGTACTATGGTATAAAAATATCAAGTAAATATGAAGAAATGAAATAAGCCTTACCTTTACATAAATTTCAGTCAGGTTTCTTCAGAAATATCAACAGGTTGCTAGTCTACTTCGCCGACATGAAAAGAGCGTCTCGTTGTCAACTACGCCCCCTCAACGTCAATTGGCAGTTTCCAAAGCACCCAGACGCTTACTCGTGATTTTAGTTAAATTTGCGCAGGATTGAATAAATAAATGAATGTTTTAAACGACATGTTTCGACGTGTCCCCCGTCATCATCAGGCAATAGCACTGTGCTACTGACGGCTTAAATACTGCCGGTCAGATGTAAGGTGAAAACAAGCAAATATTATTAAGGTAAGTCATGTATATAGAGGTCAGGAATGCTATGGTAAGTCATGTATGTAGGGATTGAATAAATGCAGTAACGTATGTTTCGGTAACGTATGTTTTATTTTGATTTCATCGTGTGTTAAAAATATTTTGCAATCACCGAAGCCACCTATAATTTATTACCTGAAATACAGATATAATGCTCTTACATACACCCAATAGCTCACATGCATCAACCGTTTTACTTTTGTATACGGTGATAACGTAGGTTTCATTTCTTAACTATACGGGCCACAAAACATCAATTTTTTTTCTTTACACTGGTGATTTATAAGGACCTAGAAAGTAAAAACTTAATGACTTGATTTAAATTAATGATGAATAATTTATTTTTAATTGAGTATGCATAATTAAATGTCCAACTTCATGGCCCCGGTAACGTATGTTTCATCAATTATTGCGGCGACACGATAGACTTTATAGAAATATATTCCTAAAGAAATGTGATCATGTTGATTTTCCTTGTAGGCAATACACTAAATTTGTTATATTAACTGATTTTAAAGTGACATGCGTCCTTATTTTTAAACTATAGGCCTATATCAATATATTTAAATTTTGTGATTTGTGACATCAATTTTTTGTACTGTTTCCAATATTTATTGAACCATAACTCCAAATGTAATCATACTTAAATGCTAAAATTTCCGGGCATTCCTGCTTTACATGTTGTTACCATGTTTTAAAAGTGATATTTATCATTACTTTCGTAACTTTTGCTATATTTTAAATAAATTGTTTGCGACACACTGTTTAGCTAATTGGTAAATTTTATTGGTTTTAACCCTCTCAGTGGTCTGTGGGTCGCATTCTGGTGATGAATTTATTAGTTTTAGCTACACCTACACACCTATGTTGGTATCGTATTCACATCATAATATACACAACATGGTATTGGCAGTTCCGAAACTAAATTTCGGAAACTGAATTTTAAAACATTAGGCCTAACTAATCAATTTTCCCGGTACATACCGTACTATAACTAACAATAGTTAATAGGTTTAACAGTAACAATATGTTAAAGGAATATTACACAATATACGGGCTCCAGGGGCTAATTAATCAATATTACAAATAACATTAAGACAAGCGAAGTTACAATAGCAAATATGTATAAGTAGACTACATACCGTCTGGTTGAACGACCGTTAGGCCCACAAACATTAAGGTTAACACACAACAACGAAACATTATGAATTCCGAGGATATCCACTAAAATTGCAGTACAGTAGTTGATTGAATTTCTACTGTATTATCAGGAAAGTTAAGATATAAATGAGGATTGTTCGGTATATTTCTTTTATATAAATTATTTTTTTCAAATAAAAAAATAACCAATGTATTCTGATTAATTTCAACTGCAGGCGATTTAATTACGCAGTTGTCACTGTAGACTGCTGGCCAATTTTAATTATTTATTTATTATTCAAACATGATTTTGTTGTAGTTTAAACAGGTGAATTTATATTAGAAAAATTATATTAGGCAATGATTATGTTGGCACTTAAATTCTGGTATTAATCTGGAAACGAAATTATAAACCTATTATAACCAACCTAATATATACAGAGTCTATAAGTTGGAGTTTTAATTAATTAATTTCACTGTCTGGAAAGTCATTGTTGTTATGTATTTTTTCACAGATGTTTAATTATTTGAATGATGAAATAGACAACCTTGGTTTTTATTTAGTTTGTTCATGATGATCATATCAATGCAGAATTTTTTTTATGAGAGCATCATCACTTATGTCTGGTTAATACACTGAAAAAAAAAAATTTAAACGTGTCCTTGAGTTTGAATCCCGATGGGTACATGCGTTTTTACATATTTTTTTTCAAAAATAATTTATCTTTAAAAAAATGTTGGGGTCCGCTAGATTATTAAAACAACTTTTTCATGCTTTCATTATTTTTTACTTACTTTTCTTACAATAATGTGATCATGCCTTGACAATAATGAAATACCTTTGACAGGCATGACTTCGTGCACTGTAAATTGTTTTAATTGGCATTATATTTTAATTCCAATACTGTAGCTTATTTGTGATCTAATAGAATTTTTTTTTTATGTATTATCTATGTAAAGATGTTTAGTATAGGAGAGCCACTTTGGCAATCCTCAGGTAATGTACATCCAGTTTCCATGATTTCTCTTATATTGCTTTTTCTTAGATATTAAATAAATTTTTAAAAAATCAGGAAGGAATCTTAAATTTGACAAATTATATGTAAATGTGAGATAATATATTACATTCAAATTTTGAGTCTGACAGTGCCATTTTCGGCCATCTTTAGGTGCCATAAACAAAAAAAATTCCTGCCTCAGCCCCAACCAGGGTGGGGCTGAGGTAGCGCATGGGGCTGAAAAAGCGTAAATCTCTTACCTGTAAAATTTACTGTCTGTACCCCAGGGGTGGCGCCAGAGGGGGCTGGGGGATATAGCCCCCCCGTCGGGGAAGCATAGCCCCCCCCCCGTTGGGGAAGACGATACATTTTGTTGGGGAACAAACAAATAAAAAAAAAATTTACATGTAATATTCGTTTAGCCACCATATCGTTTGTGTTAACTTTTCATCACAACAACAACCACAATAACAATAATAATAATAATAATAATAATAATAATAATAATTCAATGAGACTAATTAAAAATAATTTGCGTTCTGTTATGACAAATGCTTATTTAAATAGCCTCATGATGGTTGGAATACATCGTGATAGGTGAAGCAACCTCGACCATGACAACGTGGTTGACAGATCATGCAAAATTTCCAAAATATAGAATTCTGGCGCCACCCCTGCTGTACCCCTCCTGCCTATGTCAAATTCCAAGATCCAAGATGTCGTAATTTGGCGAATTATTTTCTATCCCTAACCTTAGTGGCAGAATATCAACCATGAGTGGCCCTAAATTTTACACATTAAAAAATAATTGGACGATGGGGATAAAAAAAATGATTACCTTCAAATTGTGAGTCTGCCATCTAGAAGTGGCATACACATAAAAAAATGGTTTCCTACCTGAGCCCCAACCATGGTGGGGCAGAGTCGGCTTCTATTTCAAATTCCATGATTCACCACTGTTTAATGTTGTAATTTCGTGGCGAATAGTATTAGTTGATATACGGACAATGAGTAATATTTGGACATTAGAGTTCCGTAAAGATTTTGGCAGGTCCAGAGGGGTCCACCAACGCAAAAAGGTTGGAAACCACTGTATTACACAATACATCGAAAAAATGGAAAAATCAAACGTGCGGACCATTACTCATTAGTATCCGAACGATAATCGGAAAGTCTTGGGTTAGAATTAACTAGGGGTTTGGGGGTTCTATAATTCGCCTGGCTCCCCCGCCACCGCCTCACAAGAGTTTGTCTCTTCGACTCTACCAAGACGTCTGTCTATCCATACATCTCCGGCTCGTATAGAAATTATGGTTTACGGGTCTATTGCCCCTTTTAGTTAACTTTGGATACACAGTTATTAGAGAATAAACCATAGCTCGCAGCGTCATTGTACTGAATTTCCTTCCACTTTTAATTTTGTTCGTAAATATCATGCTCTTATTGGGTGTAGGAAATAATGCTAGTTGGAAATATTGCCAGTAGAAAGAAATACCATTAGCAAAGAATAATCCATTTCATAATATGGGGTGTTTGTTAGAAGACATGGACAGGAGCTATCACACACCCAGTTATGGACAGGAACTATCACTCACCCAGTTAATCTACTGATATGGCAATTAATGGTGTTCATAGTATAATTAGGAAAGTATCAGTTAATACAACCTATATCAGTTATTTCTTTATTACATTAACCCTAATTTATTAAGTTGTATTTATTTTACTAATTAACCACAGAGTATCCTTTCTCTTTGTTGTATTTATTTAAGGTCTGATCATAGTACATTTACTTGAAAAAATACAACCTGTTTAGGTTGTATTAATTCAAGTAAATACAATATAATATTAATAATTATTAGTCTGTATTTATTTAAGTAAATGTACTCTATGATACTTTAATAAATACAACACAATAAATCATTTTCTTGTTGTATTAAGTATTATAATAGTTCATATAATACAACCTAATAAATCAGTTACTTAGGTTGTATTTAATTAATTATGTATCATAATTAAATAATAATTAAATTAATACAACCTAATAAGAATTGTTAATTAGTTTTAGTGTCATTTATTTTTTTATACTTAAATAAATACAACCTGAAAATAGCATAAATATATTTCATAGCCCTTATAACACTTTTTCTTCAAATGTTACACTTTCAATATAGCTATTTCTAAAACATAAACCAACATAGTACTTTATCAATTAAATCACACTTTATAAAAATTATTATTATTCGGCGATGCAATAGACAGTAAATATAGTACCGTACATTATATTTATGTAGCACTTTTTAAGTTGTATTTAATTAATTTTAGACAGATGGGTAATCGTTAGGCGTTCTTAACATTAGGCTGTGGATGTCATATCCCGGGATATAAGCGTTCCTGCCCAGGAGCTCCAGGATCATTCAGACCAGGAGGGAGAGTGCCTGTCCGCGTCCCACCCAGGGTTACGGGAAGTTAGTTTTTTTTATTCAATAAATCAAAAGTTTAATTAAAGAAAAAACAAAAGTAACATTAATATATATATATATATATATATATATATATATATATATATATAATAAAAATATATCTGAATACATTTGTGTAGCATGGGAAAATGTATCTCAAACTAAACACCGACTGTGATTTTGTCACTGGCGTGTGTCTTCCGAAGAAGACGGCTATTACAACATTAATAGTAAGTTAAATTTATATGGTTTTGAAACAAATATACTTATAGTGAAGGGTAAAATGTGTAGAAAAAACTGTTGTGTGTAACAGTAGTATGTCTATTTTCATAGTTAAAATTAGATCCAAATCAGGCTTTATGCAAGTACCGACGAGGAAAGATTAAACATAATAATTTTGATACACATGTTTTATGTTATGTGTTGATTGGTCTTAGTTAATAATACAGTTTAATGGCTTAATGCAATAATATTACAGTTTAATGGTTTACAATAATATTACAGTTTAATGGCCCCGGAACCCTGAACCCCGACCTGGGGCCCTTGGCGTCCCCCTAGCCCCAATCATCAGTTCTCGCGCTTCGCTCGCAACCTAACTATTTCCCTTCTCGTGGCTACGGCCCTGCTATGACGTGTGTGGCTGAACCGTGTTTGGTTGAATCATGGTAGAAAGAAAAATCAATCAACAATTGTCGGGGGAGGGGGTGGGGAAACACAAATGTACGGTATTATTTATTTAATGAAATAATATCTAATTTGTATACAATAAAATTTTATCACTGTGTATATACATATATATATAGGCCTATATATATATATATATATATATATATATATATATATATAATTATAACATCTTGATTTGAAGAAGACGTCAGTTTCGAAGATTTACGTAAATCAATACGTGTGTTATTGAACGACAGATTCAATGATGGTAATTATAACTTCTTGATTTAACACTGAACACGAGGCTTACATGTGTGCATAGTATCATGATGCTTGTCGACTGTGTAATAAAGCTAGCACGGGAACCAGTCGTCAAATGCTGAACCCCGTTGCTGACTTCAGTAGCGAAATCCCTGTACATCGTTTTATCGGGTCTATTTTCAAACAGCAGCCAACAACACCAACGTCTCACAACTTTTCATTGGGGGACATCTAGTAGCCTAGCCGGTGCATATTTCGTTTTCCCAGGCATATATTCTTTTGAGAATTTATTTTCAAAAACTATAGCTCCGGGCCTCTACAACAACAAGTTCGCGCACAATTCAAAGGACACAGATAAACACTGGTAATGACGTACAGTGTAAAGCCTAGGCTTCTGGGTGTGCCCCCCCCCCCACCGTGGTTTTCAGACCCTCAGAAATGTTAATTTCCAATTAAGCAAAAATGGTGTACAAAGCAGTGCGATAGTTACGCATTACAGGCGTTCCATGGGTTTCACTGTTTTGACACGTCTGTAACATTATGGCAAATATTTATACCGTAAAAACCTCGAATTGAAGCCCAAATGGGCTTAATCCCGAGTTTTAGTTTGCAAAATTAGCACAAAAAGAAGCCCATGGGCTTCGTTTCAAGATAGAATAGGCTTCTTTTCGAGATGGTACAGTAAGCCTATATACAATTTACATGAATTTCAAAAAACAAAATAAATTTAAACAAGCTTGGTTTATACAGTACCGTAGTTTAGTCTTGGACAGATGATAATATACAAAACCCAGCTAAACCGATACATGTGTTTAGTTGGCTTTTATCTTCCTTAGTTCGTGTGTCCATCGTTCGTTTCTTCCGATCTTCTGTAAGCGCTCACTGTCTTTTCGGATGTGTGAGTATCGTATTTTCCCGATGTAGCCATTCATTACTATGTGAGGCCTATTAAAATGAGGGTTAGGCTTATATGTCATAAAAGAAAATAAAAGTATATGAACTGTAATTTATTACAAATTACGTAAGTCAAGTAAGCCAATCACAAGATAGGAGAGTTCTGGATGTTTGCCTTTGCATGTAGGCCTATAAATGAAGGCTCAAAGTGCATGACTGTCAAGTTAATGCATTGACTAATATTTCTTCAGCATGTTGTGTGAATGGTAACAATATAATTATAATACGTAGGTGAACATAATTTATCCTACTGTCTCTCATTCATAATCGCAGCGGTCATAATTATGATATGGTTTGAAAATTATAACTTAGTATAGCAATATAAGAAATAAATGATTCGTTTCCTCCATGTTATAAAAAGATATGTTGCAACGATTTAAAACGGAATCCCGTGTGGCGTGATGTAATGAAAGCATTATATTCTGCATCAATTGTAATGTTTTCTGGCGAAGTGGAAAATGGTGGAATGTGAAATGTATATTTTCTAGGCTGTTGTTTATTATATGACCGTTATGAACATTATTGATATTATCACAATCATCAAAAAAATAAAGAACCTGAGGCCGTATCTGTCGACAGTATGATAATATTTGAGAACTTTAGTCATACAGTGAACCCCACTAGGAGGCAGGTCAAGATGGAGGGTCAGATAATTAATGGAAACCCCCATCGTAATGGAAAAGTCATGCTCTGAGGCCTTCATCCAGCAGTATTGGCAACGGCACGCTAGAAACCTAGAACCAACCAGTCAACCAACTAACCAATCACAAGATGAGAAAGTTTACATTGTATTTAGGACTAGTAGTAAACTTACATCATCTGAAACTAAGTACTGTACCTTTATTAAATTGCAATATAATTTTTATATTTTACTTATAGGCCTATTTATGTTGCTATTGTTCTTCTATATGCCGTGTTTTCATATTATTATATACTGTGTGGACTATTAGTGAATTTTTAGAAAAATGAATTACCAACAACTAAATAATTTCTTGTAATTTTGACCAAAAGTTCAGTGTATTCTGTAAATAAATGCAATTACTTGGCAAGTCAGATTTGCTGAAAAGATAATAGGCCTAGGAGATAACAGTAGGCCTATTGAATTGCGTCTGATTTTTGAAAGCTGGCACAGGGTACTATAATATAGATTGACCAGATTTGTTAGTGATATATGAGTAACAATTCAGTATGCATATTCATTCACAGACGAATAAAACTGACATGAAGCCTATATAATTCTTGATTTCATTACTGTAATAACTACTCAGCAGGGTCGTCCATCAATGCAACAAATTTTCAGTCAGAGGGCAGTATACATAGTGTACCACATCGTTACATCTTTCCTGATCGCCCAAAACGGCTCAGAGTTCATGCGTCTAGTACTCTAGAACACAAAAATTCTCGGGGAATTTTCCCGGACCCCCTGGGATAGTGTTATTTCAATCGGCTCAACTTTCACACTACCCCTCCCCCCCCCCACACCCGGATATCTCCTGGTCTCTTAGTTTCTGATCTCACTTCTGATACCATGTGATAATAGCTACCAGCAGCCTGTCGTCCATCATAAATGCAACAACTTTTATTCAGCCAGAGTGCAGCTAGCATAGGACTACTTTGTGTACCACATCATTACAACAATATTCTCATGTTATTACGCCTACTGAGTCTGTTACATCATTACAATTACCTAGTAACAATCAACATGACATAAAACATTATTGTTTCTGGTGCCATGTTTTTTTTTTTCTTTCTAATGGTGATGATTACCGTAGATGGCGCGATTCCTTTTAAGAATTTTCTGAAGTACGTAAGTAGTTCTTACCTAAAATTATATTATTATTACTAAACACCGCCTCTAGTATCCCAAAATTAACCCCACAAGTTTGGGCCAATCTGTGAAAAAATTAGAAGGAAACAGATTTCAACTGATTTGTGTAGGGATGCATGCCAGAATACACACACAAAAAAAACGTTAGGTGGGCTAGGGGGTGGGGAAAATTTTTTATGAGGGGTCAAAGGTTATTGACCCTGGTCTAAAATACTAAAAAATGTACCTCTGGAACACTCTATGGTATAATGTTGATCTTGGTGTCAAAATGCACAGAACTGTACAACAAATACGAAAATATATAATAGGACCCTCAAAACCAATACATGGCCTTGGAAAATGAGGTCAAAATGTCAAAAAAATGTATTTTTAGTCACTAATTGGCATATATCATTGTAAAATATTACAATGAATGTGATTTCAACTGACTTGTGTAGGAATATACATACTAGGATAACACCAAAACAAAGTTAGGGGTATAAGAGAGTGGGAAAATTACGTTTTTGTGTTAAAGGTCATTGACTCAACCTAAAACACTAAAATCTAAAAATCTCAAAAAACAAAAAAAAAAATCTAAAAAAAAAAAAAAAAAAATCTAAATCTGAAATCTTGAGAACACTCTATGATATAATGGTTGATTTTGGTGTCAAAATGCACAGAATAATACAAAAACTAAGAAAATAATATAAAAGGACCCTCATAACCAATGAATCACCTCAACAAATGAGGTCAAAGGTCAAAATGTTAAGAATTGATATTACAAAAATGGCATTTAGTATATGATTTGTTTTTTATTCTTATTTTTAAAGCTTGTTTTAAACAGTTGAACATATATTGTGAATATAGAAATAGAAATTACAGCTTAAAACTTTACTGTAATTATAGATAAAAGCAAATTATTAAAGATGTACAATCTCATTAAAACGAAAATTCCAATTTCAAGACAATTAGGAGCCGGACAAGTCTGACGTCACATGACCATTATAGACATTGTGAGGTGGGCGGGGCTTAAATATTGAAAAAATCGCTATAAATCATGATTTAAAAAAAAATTATGATAAACAGTGTGACTTTTATTTCCATATCTCATGATTTGTATATACCTAAGTGAATATAGATATCCAACACAGAGTGTGTGAGGTTCCAATAACTTTAACGTCTTTTTTAACTTTTACACCAAGGAGTTTTAACTGTGTGCGAACACTGATCTCTACTATAACACCTATTAAAATGCGCGAAGAGTGAAAATAACATACTAATTTTTGTGGCTGTATACTCAATTGCACACACAACGAATGAAAAGATACTAGCCTATATAATAAGAGATGAAATATTTATCTATCACTTGATTAAAAATATGAACAACGCTAAAAAAAAATACAGGTTATAACTACTAAATAGATGCCGGACCAATTTTGCCTTATGTGGACTACATTTTGCAGGTAATTTTAAAGCCAAAATCGGTCCGGCGGACCGATTTTGGCCCCGGAACAATTTCTTTCTTGACACCTCCATCATGGAGGAATTAGTTTCTGTTGCCAGTTGATCACTTGCTACCCGGTCATTTCCTCCGGGGTCACCACCCAGATTTTTATCATCCGGCGTTTTACCACCAACCTATCCCGTTAATATATTAATTCAATTAAATGGACCTTCACTAAACTATGTGTATAATATATACGATTATTTCACAGCCTGAAATCATAAACATGTAACCGAAGACGTAAAATAAATATCTCGCATACATATTTATATTGAGGCCTAGTTGAGCTAAGCCTAGTTTGTCCGATCTGCCAAGCTATATGCATAGGTAGGTTAGCAGCCTTTTGTAAGCAAAGCCCCAGTAATATTTTGTTACGTTTCTTCACAAAGGGGGGGGGGGGTTTGTATCCGCGCCTGCTGCAGTATCAAGTTCTGTTTTCCAAGCAAAAATAAGATGATTTTAGTGAAACCTAGAAGGAAGATTAGTTTGTAATTAAAGGGGTGGGGGATGCTCAGGGGCGGATTTAGGGGGACGGCCCGGCCCCGGCCCCCATTTGGGAGCTAAAAAAAAAGAAGAAAAAAAAAAAGAAAAAAAGAAAGAAAAGAAAAAAATGATACTATAGTCTATAGCCCACAACGCCTCAAATGTTATTTTCGGGCATCAGAACACACAAATTTCGCGGGGGCATGCCCGGACCCCCTAGGATATTGTTGTCTCGATCGGCCCAAATTCCCCCCCCCCTTTCGGCCCCTGCTTTTGGACATCTCTGGATCCGCTCCTGAATTTCTTTTATTTTTGTGTAATTTAATATAATTAAGGCTAAAACGTTAATACATAGGCCTAGGTCCTAATCAATGGCAATAACATTATCATTATTGAAAAGGCCTGTCCGACGGGAGAAAATTGGACAGAACGGCAAAAAAACAAAACTTGAAATAAAAATGTCTAGGATCAGCAATATTTAAGCATCAGTCGGATTACACCAACATAACTTTTTTTAATAGGCCTTTAATAGTAAATTTGCATTTTCTTTTAATTATTTTGTTTTCATTATTAGTAATATGTAATCTACTGTTAGGTAGTTAATAATAATTAATAATAATAATAATAATAATAATAATAATAATAATAATAATAATTAAAATTTGAATTTATCCAGGAGATATCTATTGGGGCCAGGCATACCATTGTCCATGATGTGGCCTGTGCAAGTATTGGAATGGCCACCATTGCCGTCATCGGTACAAGTTTTCTGTCATGCAGATGATGCAGAGTAAGTGTTGTTTCTTTTATTTTTTTAAATGTGCCTTTTACATTTTGTTAAAGACTGATAAGTCCATGAAGCGACTACTTTCACATTTATAATTACTAGGGCCCTGTTTATAATTATTCCACAATGTCTTTATCGAATGAGTCAAATGGCCGAGCGGTTAGCAAGCTAGCCATAATATCAGCGCTGGTTCGAACGGCACGCTCGCCTATGGTTCCGGTGGTAGAACAAGTCTTCTCGGATAAGGACTATAAACCGTAGGCCCAGTGTATACAATGGCTTGTGTGCACTATAAAGAACCCAGTACATCCTTCGAGACGAGTAGGGGGTTACCCCGGTGTAGTGGAACAGACAGCCCCAGTGGTGGACGACGAGCTTTGCTGGTACCGGGTTACCGGGTAGCACAGACACGAAGGGACCCTTAGGGGCGAAGAAAGTCATTGGTCGAGTTCCTATAGTCCACATTTCAAGCACCCTGAGCATCTTACATTCGATGGATATGTGCGCTATATAAAACTACACAATTATTATTATCATCTAAACCATCCACAGTGTCTGTTTAATAATGGCAACTGAAAGGTACTTTATAGACAATCCTGCCATGGTCAATCATATGTTTACAGAACTATGATAATAAACAAAATAAATATGGTAACCCTATAATGTACCCGGGTGCAAAAATAAATAGACTGTTAACTGTTTAAATTTAATTCATTTCTCAAGCTACATCAGTTTATAATTAATGTATCAGTATTATATATCAGGGAATTTGCATTCCAAGGAGACTTTTAATGATTTTAGGTGTAAAAGGCATTCTTGTAGTACTGTGAACACAGCCTGATACAATACTGTATATATATAGCTTGGTACTACACATGATGCTACACACAGTCCAATAAACAAATATTAAACACAGCTTCAAAAAAACCCCCATTTCATTATGCCCTTTAATAAGTGATTATTCATGCCAACTAATATTTTGTACTGTAGGTCAGCAAGAGAATGAAATTATCAACAAAATTGCGGGCTGTGATGAGCAAATATGTATGTCTCCAATGTTGCCTCTACCTAATCCACCCCTGACAGAAGGAATAGATCCTGAAGTCTTTATTGCTACAGCATTGGACAGGTGAGAACTGGTAAGGGCACAGGCCATTTAGATAAAGCCCATTGTACACTTTGGTAGTCAGCATCCAGCCATGAATGATAATTTGCCAAGCAAATTACTCATAACTCTGTAGACAGAGCATCTGCACGAACTGTTTGATGTCTCTTGTTAGAATCCTGATAACCATATATTTATTACCCTCTGTAGTATTATGTTTAATAAATTAATTTAAAAACTGTATAATACCAATGACCATCAAACAAACTCAAAGGGAAGAGCCCATGGAAACACTAGATGGCAATTGAACAGCTGAAACTGATTTATTTATTAACAATAAACTGATTTATTTATTAACAATACTACAATAGTTTAATATAGTAACATTTTATTAATGTAATATTAAAAATTAATTGAAATTCTGTAGTAAGTTATATTTATGTTAAGCCACATATTTTGTCAATACTTATTTAATAACTATTTGTTGCATCACAGTTTACAACCAGCTACTTCAAAATATTTTTTTAGTCTGAAATTCATAAAAATCACCTTTTAAAAATGCAAATTGGTGGCCATGATTTAATTTTTGAAGAAGGTTGCAAACCGAAAACTGATTTGTTATTATTGTACTAAAATAAATTTTTATACGATGTATTTTTGGACTTCGTTTTCAGTGGGAAGTTGACCGACTTGCTAAGTTAACTGGTTGTCAATTTTCTAGTATGTTTCGTACTCAGAATACAACACATGTTATCATAAAAACAGGTTAGTTTAGAATAAAAATCATTTTATTCATTGCAAAATGTTTAAAATATTGGAGTTTAAATTTTAAAAGGTTCTGTGAAATTGGATTCAAATTTCAGAATCATAATCATATTTATTGTCATTATAATTTTCATTGTTTTAGTCAATGATAAATTTATTCCATCCCCATATTATTGTCATGGTCATCAATAATGTATGGCAGATGTCCCAATATAGTAATGTTCACTTTGTTGCACAACCTGATGGTTGCTTTGATAAATTTAACATTCCTTTTGCAGTGTTTCTAAATATAAAAACATCAATTAAAAAAATCAATACCTTTAAAACACATTTATTCCCTTGTTCTATGCTTACTGCTGTAATCAGACAATATCACAATAAATCAAATAATGTGCTTTCATAGGCCTAAATAAATTTTTTC